GACTAGCCGCGCTAGTATGATTTAACTAAACTGACGCTTTCACTGGCTTTTATACTATAGCGATACCACTACACAACAGTCTGTAACAAAACCAGTAAAAATAGAAATTCTTATACGTTCCTTGAACGCAAGATAACGCTTTTCATTTAAAATTAAAAGTATTTTTAGCAGAGGATTATGCCCCATTTGCTTTTAAAAATTCGTTTCATAAACGGCCCTAGCTATAAATAAGAAATACTATAAATAAGAAATAGCCTACCCCAATTCTTTGATGTGAATTATAATTATTATTGTATTTATCCGAGTAATTTTCCACAGTATTTCTTCTCTTATTGTTAATAATTTGGTTGTTATAAAAATCTGGAAGAGAACAATACCGACCAACAGAAAAGCTCTCTTCGTGATTATTGATAAAGTAATCCTAAAAATTATCAGGGATTTTGAAAAAAATTTTAAGATATTTTGTTTGCTTTATATTTTTATATTTTAATTTATAGAATTTATAGCTTTAGCTTAAGACATGCGTCCCATAGGAAAGTATTGGCCCACTACCGTAGTTTAATTGATTCTGGATTTCTGATCTTCGCTTTCAATTTCATAACAGTTTTCGTGTTAGGGACATATAGGCACTGTGTTTGTATTGGAGATAGAATAAATAATTGAACTGATTAAAATGTTGAAACAAAATCTCAGTTATCGAGAATTAAGAGCACGATCTCGTATGATCCTGCCAGCCCGATCTATTGATATAAATCCCAGTCCGCTGATTATAATTTTCGAACAAAGCTGTACAAAAATTTCGTTTCGTGATTGCCGTGAGAAAACGAAAGAGGAAAATGAAGTTTACTTTACCTCCCTTAATTACAAAGGAAAGTGAAACTGTGAACCTTACTGCACCAAAAAAAAGTATCAAAAACCCGAAGAATCGAATAAACAATTATAGGTACTGATAAATTCCCATGGGGTATGCATGTCCTAAACCATTCTGATTTCTTATCTCTCTGAAAAAATTCTCAATTTAATTAAAATTATTTAAAAACGTTTTCTTGCCATGCCTCCCTTATCTTTCCATCTCCTCTTTGGGGAGAATGTAGTTGCTATAGTGCTGCACATACTCTTAGCTGATTTTACCCATAAAAGATAGCGTTGTTTTTGGTCTAAATGTTCTGAAGTAACCGCTTTTAGAGGCAACAAATCATTATCAACATTATCAAAGCTTCCTCTCAATTCATAGCTTTGGTTCCTTGTTATCGAAAGAAAAGGCCTTTTGCTCTATCAAAGAAATATGTATAATAAAATGAAATTTTGTCCCATTCTCTTCAGAGAGCGGCAAAATTGCAAATCTGTGGTTTCGTAACGGAATTGAGGTTCAGAAGGATCTGCGGGAAGGATCCCGCAGGATTTATACTGTATATCCATGTCTTTGGCTTAAAACCAGGGCTGGACGCAGTTGCGGATTGCGTGAAATTGCGTGTTTTTTTTACTTGCGGATTGTGGATTGCGTCTGCGGATTTTAAATTAATTGAGGATTGCGGCTGCGGAAAATTTTTTCAATTGCGTCAAACCCTGCTTAAAACCCAGTATTCCGAGGGTTCCTGAAAAATCTCTACAGGATGCCGTCAAGTGCCTCAATCAAATTACTTGTTTCTTACCCTTTCAGTCGACGTAGGCGTTGTTACAGAACTTCTCCGAACATATGTATGTTGACTGTTTATCCCATTGTTGTCATCAATATCAATGAAAAAAATTCCGGGAATTGAACAATTTGTTTCCTTTGCACTGCTAGTAGTAGGGTGTAGGGACATTTTAATGAATTAATTTTTAAAAAAAAAAATACGAAATTTTGTCGATGAAAAATACGAAAATTTTGTATCCTGAAAAGACGAAATAATAATAACACAATATCAAGAGTTGAGGCTAAGAATAATTCTTGTGCCAAAAATTACTCTTACTTTTAAAATTTAATTAAATCGCCTTCTACACAATATAAAAATAAATATATGTATATTTACTTTTTGCCAGATTAAAAACAAAATTAGTTTTTAGCTAAATTTCCTTTTTACTCAATAATAATTGTCGTTATTTAATCCTTCCTTTTTAGTTGTTTACACAAGTAAAACTGAAAAATAATAGGTAAACGTTTACATAATATTAATTTTTACATTTATTAATAATGAAAGGGTACAGAAAAATAATAAATAAATGAATATACACAAACAATAAGCTCTAAAGGGAAAAGTATTTTCGTTATATTTCGATAACCTTATTTGATCTTTTGTGATCTCCTGGTAAGGAGTCAATATAGTCAACCTGATTTATGCATACATTTATCAATGAGATGTACTTAAGACTTAATTTAACATAATATTGGAGGTATTTTTAGGCATATATTAGCTTCTCGATTAATTCGGCGATCCACTTCCCCACTCCTAATTAATTCCTCAAGCCGAGGATGTGCTCAAATATTAATTACACGGGGATTTAATCGAAAAAAGGGGGTATATTTAAAGCCATTTCTTTAAAAATCTTTAGAAAGTTTAAAGTCACTACAAAAATTTATAAAGGACAAGCTGAGACTAAAATAAATTCAGGAACTCAACAAGTATGCCTCAGACAAAATTTATTTTTCAATTTTTACTCGTTTGTTTTGGATACATCATTAGAAAAAATTGTATGTGTTTCTATAAAAGTATTTCCATAAAAATAAAAGGAAATCCAGACAAAATTAGTGGAAGGAATTTTGTCCTTTCTTCTCAATACATATAATTGAGGAAGAAAACAATCAAAGAAATGAGGTAAAAATGTGAGTATTGAACGGTATTTGAGGGAACAAAGCGAAACAAGCAAAATTAAAAGTATGCAGTTTATTATTTAAGAGTTATCAACGCTGAAACTTGAAAAAAAATTTTTTGAAACGAAGAAAAAGGTAATGATACTTGTTCTTCAGCTATGTCTGTATGAACGAGTCTAGCAACTAGAATGCTTACTAGACGGGGGTTTAAGATATGTTAAAAGCGAAGTGAAATACGCCTTCCGGTAGCGCCTAGGTAGAGCAGCGGCGGTACAGATTGAGCGAAAGGCAATAACTCAGACTGCAAAGAAATCGCCCCTCCCCAGGGGCTAAATTTTTATCTTGCCCTCTTAGTCCTGAAAGAGATTCTATTAGTTCAGTTCGAAAAATCGAGGCCTCAACATTATTTTAACCACAGTACTTACACTGTTTTATTAAATTTAAAACTTGATCGTATCGTAATTCATATGTTTGGTCCAGTAAATGTGCACAAGTGAGTACAAGTACGAATTTTGCTACGAGCTTCAAGAGACTGCCTCTTACAACCTCATATTCATGTATCAGTAGATGTTCCTAAAAAATAAAATTTGATAAAGACCACAAAATATTCGAAAAAAATGAATAAATAATATACACATGTTATTGATACAACTTAAAAAACAAAAGAAAAAGACCAAGTAAAAGTGAGAAAAAGGCTGACTATAAATATTAAAATACTTTGAAAAATACATAAAAGCAAGAAGGCTAAATTGAAAATTCATAAGCGTGTGAGCGTGTAAAGAAAAAAGGCTGTCTCATTGACTTTAAATTAAATATGCTTTTTTAAGTTAACATTATTGTTTTATTTTTTTATTTCAAGTTGATGAAAAATTTATCTAGTAAATTTATGCTAAATAAATTAGGGTTTCTTAATGAATCCATTCCAGAATATTGCAAAGGTTTCGATGGGACTTGATTGAGATCTCCCGATGCCTGGCTGTAGTAAAAGTAAACCAAAAGCTTCGTCATATCATTTAAACTGCGACAATTCTGACAGTGCTCTTCTAGATGTAGATCTTCATAGGTAGACTCAAAGCTATTGATAAGTTTAGCTCCTTACCAAGATTCCCTGATATCTTCCTTAATCCTCCGGTATCTAAGGGGCGTCCCGGATTCGACAATTTTGAAGAAAGTTATAGCTCGGCGGTACCTAGGGCTTGCGGTACCTTGGTGTTTTAATTAAATTGAAACCCTTTGATGAAGAACAAATTGAAGCCCTTTGATTCATCATTATTTAAATTTATAAGAAAACAAAAACAAAGTTTATCAAAAATACGAACATTTAAATAGTTGTGGACAGCTGAAAGTGTTGACCTCCAAACAAATCCTCTCGACGGTAATCCAAAAAGCTTTCAGAAAAGTACATTCATTTAATGTTTTTATTATTAAAGTGCAAATTTAAAATTCATTTCCGATTAATTCATTTGACTTTTTATTTCTTAATTATTGCGTAACAATTATTTAAAGGGCATCACACGTTTAAGGGCATCATCTAAGGGCATCACACGTCTTTATTTTTGCTTTTTAAATTATCCGACGCTTTCCTTTGACTTGCCCTTTCCTTCTTGTAAAGGGCATCCGCGCTTGCCAATTCAATACTGCCCTTTTGAAAAAGCATTGTGAGTGCCGGCGACAGCTATTATTCACATGCTTATGCCTATATAATGTATAACGTTTTTCTGATGAATTATTTTCATGTTGATCAGTCTTTGTGTTCCCTATAGGAAAAGACACCGTTGTTAATCCTAATTCTTAATATAATTTAAAGCGATTGGTCCCGCTTCCCATTGCCTCGGTTACTTCCTCATCTTTTGCCAAGGATGAGTTAGCGGCGATATTAAGCCAAAATAATGGGCGGCTTATTCCGCTCTGAGAATGTTAGTTTGTGAGATTTTTTGATTCTCTCAGGGACCTTACACTCCTTAAAGCGCTTATTACTTTTCAAATTATTTACCGAAGATACATTACGGACCCACCAATAGAGATTCACTGGTAGTCAAGATTTGACTATCCTCCACAATATTTAAAATTTGTTAACTTTATATTCAATCCATCCGATAATTTATTTAATCTGAACATTTGTTTTTTGTAGATTTGCGATTTTTGGCAATTGTAATTGTAAAAATTTTGAAAATTTCAACATTTAAAAATGAAAATTACTCATTCTTTGATGATTTTATTCAATTTAATAATTATTTGTTTTGAAGAAAATAATTGTATGATGAATGGAGGAGAAAATAATAAAGGGAAGGAAATCGAATCCTCAAATGGAGGAACGGAAAATGAAATAGGAGGATCGAGTGAACAATCAAGCGATCATACAAAAATTGGTACTTTGTTCATAAACCACCCCCACCCCTTCTAAAGTCTTTGATTAATTTTCATGTTATTCTCTCCTGTCTCAGAAAGCTTTTAGTATCATGTCACATTCAATATTTTAGTACCATTTTTTAGGGTGGCGGTGCGACAATTGAGGATACGCACTTGAGGATATAACAAATGAGGATAGAAATGAAAAATAAAAAAAAACTTGAACGACCAATAAAACTTGGAAATGTTACGACCCCGCTTACGTAGAGGAAGCTAACAGAACGTTTATCGTACAAAGAAAATACAAAGAAGATGAAGTTGTTGTAGGAAGAACTAAAACTGAGAGATCGAACTAACTATTGGCTGGGTTTTTATACTAAACACTTTAAGGGCTGACGTCCATACACAACAGGAAGATCCCCATTTGAAGAACAATAAAGAAAAATTCAACTCTTTCCAGCGCCGCAAGCGGAAATTTTTGAATTTCAGAACTTCTCATTATTTGTTTTATTATTATTTTAATTCTCAATTGTCGTCCTCATTTATCATATCCTCAAGTGCGTATCCTCAATTGTCGCAACACCATTGGGGTAGTTTTGGTCGTAGTTTGTAAAAAATTGTCTAGGCAAAGGAAATTTCAATTTTCCCGAATGCTTAACAATCCCCAATATTTAAAGAATCAAATTCTCTTCAAACCCAACAAGTTGCTACTTTGTCCAAGGAGAACAAAGAAATGCATCAACTATTACAAAAACAATATGAAAATAATTATGACGGTTTACATGCTATACTAGGGCAACTTGAGCAGTTAACTAACAAAGAAATTTACGAAAAACAAAATGAAGAATATAATAAAAATTTTGAGGCTTTAAAAAATACTTACCGAAATATTTTCGAGATTAATGAAAAACAGAAGAAATTAAATGAAAAAAAGGCTGAACCAAAGGATAAACAAAAGGTGGACCTTATGTCCCAAATGTATCAACTTTGGCTAAAAGAGTTAGAAGATAATAAAAAACGCAAAATGTCTGAGGCTGGCCCAAGTAATACAAATGCTGATCACTCAAATCAACGCCATTCGATAGGTAAATTGATACTAATTTACTGTTTAATATTCCCACGAAGGGGCACTTCATTTTAATGTTATAGATGAGTGTTGACGTCCCTATTCGTAATGATAATTCACTTAGCATCATTACTTCTAAGAGGAAAAAGAGAGAGCTTAAAAGAGTTCTGCCCCTTTTTTCTCGCCCCCACTACCAATTGCTTCAGTAGGTTTCAAGTTCGTTTTTACCCCAGAACCATACATGGCCTAATGCAGAAAACAGTATACAAAATGCGGATACGTGTTAACCATTTACCACAACAAGGTCTTCATGCAGGGATTCTGCTTACTAAACTTATACCCAAATCTTAATGTTATTTTACTAATACTTTCACAGATTATTCAAAAATATTCTTCAACGAGTTACAAAAACAGCAAATTATTGCCTTACAAATATTAGGTAAAAACAATCAAACACTTCACATCCTTCAATTAAAACATTCTTATCATATAAAAACTTTGTTTAATTTAAATTTGCATATTTTGCAAAACACCCCAAATCTTGGAGAAAAATACCAACAACATTTGCATATCTTAAATGAAACGTATAAATTAATTCAAATTTTAAATGAGTTTAACCAACGTTTAATGGGAAGTTTGAACGCTATTGTTATGTATCCAATACAGCTTTACTCTCCTCTTTTAAAAAATTTTATTGAAATGAATCAACAGGCTCAAAATGAACAGAATTGGATATTTAATGAAGTTGGAAAGATATACCCAAATTTGTTGGAGAAATTAATGCAACAGCCGTGAAATATGGAGGACGAATGTTGAAATATCAGATGAGATGCGAGTTGATCGTTTAACATTGACACTTTTATACATTTTTTAATTTTACATCTTTTCTATGTAAATTTTCTCATTTTATCAGTTATTCTATTAATGTTACATATATGATTTTGTTCGACTAGCCCGTAGAGGCGAATCAAATTTTATATGTTACGACCAAAACTTTGACGATTTTTAACGAAATTTTGTTCTTTTGCTTCTATGAATTTTCACATTTAAACTCTTCGTTAAACACATAACTTTTGAATTATTTTTTTCAAAGATATTAATCAATTTGTTCTTTATACAGTGCCGGAAAAAAAGATAGGACCAGAGGCTGTTAATTTAGTTTTTTTCGCTTAGCTCTTTTTTAATTGCATTTAGGAAAAAAGTTTCAACACAAAAATTTTAGGCCATTAAGTGCTCTTTAAAATGAGTATAAATATCAGTATACTTTATCAACAGAATTTTATCAAAAAAATTTTGAACAATACTACTCGATTTTTGGGGTGGAGAATTAAGCTAGAAATACAAAACTTAAGTTTTTAAGCCGAGATATGAGTCTTCAAATCCGTTCTAGTGAAAAATTGGAGAGACGCCTTAAAAATAATTTTCTGAAAATGATCTTCAACAGGTAATCGGAACTGCTGATCACGGATATGATATCAGATTTTGTCAGATATGACATTTTTCTAAGATTTTATTTGTTGACCGGACTTTGTTATTGTATTGTAACCTCAATTTTTTAAAGAGGGAGGTGTTGTGTTGTGGTGATTTGTATTTAAACCTTATTATTATACTATAAAGGCCTCAAATAATTGTCAGTCTGTGTCTCCTAGTTGTCTCCTAATTGCTTATCCTAAATATCCCAATCTTATTCTATTTCATTAATTATATTTTATTTCTTTTGTGTAATTATTGTTGTACAAAGATACAACAAAATATGTTATAAGCGCTTAAATTTAGTAAGAGCGAGGTAAAAGTTTAATCCCAGGTAGGCTTCGATCCTGCGACCTCCTGGCAGTTATTGCTAGGCACTTCGCTCACCACGTACATGTGCTTTACCAACTGAGCTACCGGGACGCTGCTTTCACCTTCTCTTTTAATAGATCTTAAACCGCCGCCTAGTGAGCGTTAAATGCTAGATAGATGGATCTTCTCTTCCTTACAATATGTTATAAGCGGAGCTCTGTTTTTAGCGCTATTCTAAAAACATTTAAACACGTTCACTAATTTGAGGGCATATATCCTTACTGGGACGCCTATAATATTTTTGGGGCACATATACAATAAATTATTTCTTATGGGACGAATAAAATTTCATGGGACGCCAGTCATAAGGTAGAGCCAAAATCCCTTTCTATCTAACTCACTTTTCCTTTACAAATTCAAATAACTGTCAATTAATATAGTAAATATATTTTCCTAACCTCATCTTTAGTTAAAAAATTAAATTAAAAATTAAATTTACAAAACCTCTATATAATCAAAACACTTTCCTACAATTATAACTAAAACTTGTCCTTATCACTCCCATAATTATAACCTCAATCTAAGTTTTTCGTGTTTTTTAAAATTTTTGTGGTAAAATTTCTATCCGTGTTTTCAAAACATCCTCAACATATTTATGTATAACCTCATATTATTAATTCATATGGGAAATGATTGAAAATTTCTACAAAATTTCTATCAAAATTTCTAGGGACATGCCATAATAGTCGCGCGGCCATAAGGTCGCCACGCCACAACTTGCTTTAAAATGTCCGAATCTTACCAAATTTAGTATTAAACGATTCCTCTCATCAAGCTAAAGAGATTGTTACCAAAATTTATAAGGGCCAAAAATGTTTTAGCAAGTTATGGCTTGGCGACTTTATGGCCATGCGACTATTCAGGCTGTACCAGAATTTCCAATGGTATTGAGTAAAAAATCCAAAAGAGCAAAGTCTATAAATGTTTTTTCCATTGAAAACTACTTTGAGATCGTATATCGTATATGAGATCGGACATGCCATGATTTTGACATCCCATCGGACATGATTTTTCATTCTTTAGTTAAGGCACTATTTACTTATAAAACACTTAATATAAGATAAGTCTCGGTTCAAACCTAAGTAAAACTTTTAACTAGTGTGTTACTTTGTCTATTAAAATGAACTGAATACAATTTTTATTATTCTTCTAACTTTTTTTAATAACTTTCCATGGCGGTTTTAAATCCTTGCTAAGCAGAGGTTGATTGGAATTCCGGTTTCAGACTTCCAATTTCCGGCGTTTTTTTTCCTTCCGATTTCGGAAAAAAAAATTTGATTTCCGATTTCCGATACCTCTGACTGATTCGACCCACCTCTGTTGCTAAAGTCCTTTATTTTGTTTATTTAAAAAATATTTATTTTTGATTATTAAATATTATTTAAATTAATTTACAATAAAAAGTGCAGGGTTAAAATCAATGTAAAATATGATAGCTAGCAAATTAGCTGGCAATTTTAAAGACAAGTCGATTCGAAATTTCGATATTTGCTTTATGGTTTTCAAAGATTTTTTTTAGGTTCGAAACAGCTTTCATAGACGGTCCGCCTATTTTAATATTATATATGGCTAGAAAGAGATTTACTTTAGACGGGCATTTAATTAAACTATAGCAATGACTGTCTAATTTAGTAAAAAATTAAAAAAGCGGCAAATCATTTAGTAATTTACTCGAATCCTTTACTACTCTAGCAGTCTTATTGCCATAAGTCATCTCAATCTAAGTCTGTTTTTTTCAATTTGTTGTCCATTAATGGCTAATGCATCCCACTTTCTATTTAATAAACACCTTACTCTATATATAATTTTTCAATCCAAATTTATATTATAGCGAGTTCCAACTGAATAATTATATATTCTAGTTCTACGCATTTTATCTTTTAAAATGAACATGAAAATAATTTTCATTATTTTTGTAATTGTAATGTTTTGCGTTGAGGAGAAAACCTGTATGAATACAGGAAGAGGTGGGAGAAGAGGAGGGCGAAGGGGAGAAAGTCGCGGAAAAGCTGTTCAAGTTTCAGAAGGTGGGGATATTTAAAATTATCCAAAACTGCACTTTTTTATTTAACGGGCAGGAATCGAGCCTATTACCTCCTGTAAGATAGTGAGTGCTTATTAAGCCATTTTTAAAAATTAAATTAGATGTATAACAACTTTCCTTGTTGTACATACATAATTTTGATTATTTCTTTTTTAAAATACTAATATTTCTTACTCGATTGGCAATTCAAAAATTCGACACTCAAATGTCCTCAAAGTTTAATGTATGAATAATTTTTATTTTATTTTTAGTTCCATCGTTGGAAACACTGATTCAGCAGGTTCATCTTGATCTACAAAAATATCAAAATTTGGCTAATGAGGTGCACGGGCTTCGAAATTGTTTACAAACTCTCCAGCAGAATAGAGAAATGCTGCAACAAATATTAGCAGCTTCCAACCAAAACAATCAAAATTTAGATGGTTTATTCCAAAATATTCGACAGATAAATGATCCGCATCAATTGGAGGAGAATAGAAATATTGTTAACGAGTTACTTGCTGAATCATGTTCTAGTTTTATGACGATTCAAGATCTGATTAATTCAACTAATATTGATAATATACAAATTGAATATGAAATATTATTGGGTCAAAAGGAGGCACGTCTTCAACATCTTTTTGATAGACTTAACCAACAAATACAAACAATTTCACAAATAAATCCTTTAATGGCACATCAATTGCAAGAACAACTTGAGGTTATTCAAAGACAGGGAGAAAATATTTATCATAATGAAGCTGGTCCATCACACCAAGTTCAAGCTGAAGCCGGACCGTCACACCATAAAGCTGGAGAAGGTCCCTCGCACCATCAAGGGGAAGCGGGTCCCTCTCATCAAGTTCAAGGTAATCATTAAAATTAATAACCAAAATGTTGTTACCTCCATCACACCATCAAATTATTTTTTTCATTTCGTTCTAAATTTTGACAACATTATATTGTGACAAAAATTTTAGGACAATTAAAATCTATTTCTGAAATTAAAAATATCATTTTACAAGTATTACAGAAGCATTCCAATTGTTTAGTTTTTATAATTTACTTCAAAATTGTTAACAAAAATAAATTTATAGGGCAAAACCGCAGTGAAGTAATGTATCAAATCTTTGGCACTCCATCAGATTCTAATCATAATGGAGGATCTGAAGCTAACCCGAATGATTCAGATGAAGAATGAGCAATCAAACGAGAATTGGGGAAAGAATTAGAAAGTAGATATATTTCAACTGGGTAATCTTTTGGGGTATGGCATGATTCAGAGGAGTGGTGAGCGCTTTGCGTTTTTCACTATAGCCTTTTGCACTCACCCCTGAATCAGAGTAGTTGTAGGAATATAAAATGTAAGGATGATTCAACGAGTGCCGGAATTTTGGTAACCAGCGGAATTTTGGTCACCAAGTCAAAAAACGGAATATTGGGCACAGAAATTTTGGGCACCAAGAGGAATTTTGGTCACCAAATGGAAAAAAATAATCTTATCTAAAACTGATATCAAAATGATAAAAAATGATTTTTCAACCCCCATTTGATCAATTTCAATGTTGATCACTCTCACAACTAATCAATCATCCGGGAGAGTGATCAACCTAGCGAGTGATCAGCCGGGGAAGTGACAAAAATTGAAATTGATCAAATGTGGGTTGAAAAATCATTTTTTATCACTATGAAATCATTTTTAGATAAGATTATTTTTTCCCATTTGGTGACCAAAATTCCTCTTGATGCCCAAAATTTCTGTGCCCAATATTCCGTTTTTTGACTTGGTGACCAAAATTCCGCTGGTTACCAAAATTCCAAAAAAATTGGTGACCAAAGTTCCGAAAAATCATGGTGACCAAAATTCCGTACACCGATTCAACTAGAGCATTTAAACGCCTAGGCGGGGGTTAAACTATCTAAAAAAGATAAAAGAGAGCATTAGTCGATGCCCCGGGAGTTAGTGGAAGAGCTCCTGTATGTGATGAGCGAAAGCGATAGCATTATCTGTCAAGATGTTGCAGGTTCGAATCCTGCCCGCTGGCTAACCTTTGCTAAACTCTTTCTAAAAATCGTTGGATTAGCTTAAATTCAGTCGATGTCACTAGAGGCAACCTTTTTAAACATATTTTTTGAAATTAAAATTGTTTTTTCCCTTTTTGAGCTTTTCATTTCCAGATTTTCGTTACAATTTAGTTATAAAGTAATACCTCTTTACCGTGTTTTTTATATTTTGGGTTGTTTCGTTTTCTCAATCATTCAGGATAAAATTTTACTTCGGTTATTTAATTTTTATGTTTTTATTTTAAAATTACTATATGTATTTATTAAGTAGATTATCACTCCCATAATTATAACCTCCCCATAAATTTTTCGTGTTTTTTTAAAAATTTTCGTTGTAAAATTTCTATCTGTGTTTTCAAAACAACCTCAACATACTTATAACTAGGGATCGGATTTGTATTGAAATATATTTTTTTTCTTGAATATATTATGTCGAAAAAAGCCCAAATATGCCATTAGTTTTACGATATTATGATTTTGAACGAAGTTACATTTCAATATATTTCAATATTTTGCCAATTTTCCAGAAAAATACCAACAACATTTGCTCATTTTAAATGAAACGTATAAATTAATTCAAATTTTAAATGAATTTAATCAACGTTTAATGGGAAGTTTAAGTGCTTTTGCTATGTATACAATACAGCTGTACTCTCCTCTTTTGAAAACATTTATTGAAATGAATCAACATGCGCAAAATGAGCAGAATTGGATATTTAATGAAGTTGGGAAGATATACCCAAATTTGTTCGAGAAATTAATGCAACAACCGTGAAATTTAAAGAAAGAATATTGAAAATATTGAAGATGTGTGAGCTTCTAGTCGATCATCTAACAAATACACTTTTGTACTTTTTTTAATTTTATATCTTTTTTATGAAAATTTTCTCTTTCTATCGGTATTTTATTAATGTTATGATGATTTTGTTCGACTCAGCCGTAGAGGCGAATATAAAACTTTGACGATTTCTAACGAAAATTTTGTTCTTTTGCTTCTATAAATTTTCACATTTAACTTTATTCGTTAAATACATAACTTTTGAATTATTTTTTTTCAAAAATATTAATCAATATTTTCATTTTTATATTAATATGTTTTTTATATCGAAAAAATTCAGCCTATGGTGCTGAATTTTTTTAAAAATTTTTTAGTGAAACCCCGACCCAAAAGTCAACACCGACCACGACATGCCTTTTCAGGCAAACACCGACCCCACACACCCGACCTGTTATGTATCGACTTACGGTGTGTCCGAGATACTAACAGAAAGACTATCTAACTAACAAGGTTTATCTACAACATTATACAATAAGGTGAACAATAGGAATACGACTAACTGCCGGAGCGCAAGGACTAAGACTGATTGACTAACAGAATAGACTGACTGACTATAGACTAACTCGGTAACTGACTAACAGACTAATTCGATAACTCCCCGACTGGCTAAAGCCTCAGCCTTTTATACTAAGCACATACCCAACACGACATCTAAGGTCGGGTTGCTATCATATTTTAACAATAATTGTACTATTTAAAATTTGTTGCTAGGCTTTATACCAGAAAAATATGCCGATTGTTAGCTTGTTAATAAATTGGATGTGTATACTTAGAGAAATACATGTCTCCAACACTTAAATATTAAAATTTCAAGATAAATATTAAAAGTAAACAAAATTTTCTCACAAATATTTTTTGTATTTAATAATTATTAGCTTTTAATTTTTAATTTAATTTTATTTTATTCAACATTGTCGAAATGAAACAATTTAAATTTGGCGCTATTTTATTGACGGACTAATCATTGACAAAAGGCATTGTCGATCTGATTTTGACGAATATATCATTGACGAACTCATTATTAGAGACCGGAATTTCGTACTGAACGGTATTCCGTACTGAAATACCGAAAAATACCGACACCGAAAATTACCAATAAATATCAAAATTTTACTGTACCGTATTCCGTACCGTATTACTACTGTAATACCGAAAAATACCGCAAAATGCCGATAGATTTTCATCGGTACCGTATTACGGTGCGAAAAAAATTATCGGTCGGTATTCTGTACCGTACTACCGTTGGGTATGTGCTTAGTATAAAAGGCTGAGGCTTTAGCCAGTTGAGAGAGTTATCGAGTTAGTCCGTTAGTCTATTCAGTCAGTCAGTCTTAGTCTTGTGCTCCAGCAAATAGTCTCGTTATTCTATTGTATTGTAACCTTGTAGATAAACCTTGTTAGTTAGCTAGTCTTTCTGTTAGTATCTCGGACACACCGTAAGTCGATACATAACAACTACCGATACGGAATACCGATAAATACCGTTGTAGTACGGTATCGTCCGGTCTCTACTCATTATTGACGAAATAATCAGTCACCTTTTATAGAGTTCGGGGACTGTAACGCTTATATTTTTGGCAAAAGTCCAAATGTATTTTTCATGTTTTTAACAATAATTGTACCATTTAAAGTTTGAAATTCATTTACTCGACATTTACTTAAGCTCAGCACGCGTCTCGGTGGAGTCACAGTTGCTAGGCTTTATACCAGTAAAATAGGCCTAATGTTAGTTTTCGAATAATGGGATATGTACTTACTTAAAGAAATAAGTCTCCATCACTTAAATATTAAAATTTCAAGATAAATATTAAAAGTAAACATAATTTTCTCATAAATATTTTTTGTATTTAATAATTATTAGTGTGAGACTTTTTAGTGTAATAAATATTTAAAATATTTACTTAAATTTATTTAGTTTTCTTGTAACTCACTTTTAAAAGATTTACTTAAAATTAAAAAATTATATCTTAATTAAAATTTGTTACTTATTCTGTATCACAGCATCTTAAAATAGGCAGAGGCTGTTACTTGCCTTTCATCGCGGTACTTGTGGCTTAGTTGGTAGCGCGCCCACTTTAAGTGTAAGGTTCGAACCCAATCGATCATTATGACTTATATAAAGTGTAAATCCCAATAATATCTTGGATAATTAACATTTAATGTCATTTTAAAGTAAAATGAATTTTTTAAATCGAAAGCCCTGGATAAGCTGTATATTTTTCATTAGGATAGATCAAGTCTGATCACTTGTCAAATACCTATTGCTCAAAATTTTTGAAGGTTATAATTGTTTTTCTGAAATTTTTAAAAATTGCCTATAACTTTTAGAAATTTGATCCCAGACACAATGGGCGTAGATCTCGAACATTAAGAAAAATTTTGGAGCTATACACCAACTTTGCAATACCAGGAAAAATCCAATTATTTTTTGATTGGACTCATAAAGTCAAATAGAACTCAAAAGATATTACTGCTATAGTCGGTTTCGTACTCCCCAGGGCTGCACGCAATTGCGAATTGCGAGTTGCGGATTGCGGATTT